GCTCGTGCACTTGAGAGTAATTTCAATGTGAGGAGGTATAAGAATAATTTAGCGGCGCATACCAAGTAAAAAAGACACGGCGATGCGTGAAGAAGACGCCGCGCTGCGTCACGTGCATCTCATCCACCGCAGTGCAGTGGGAGCTCGCCGAGGAGCTCGCTCCAGAGCGAGGTACTCTTGCTGCCGCCAAACAACCGGTGGCCGACCAAAGACCAAAAGCCAAAAGGTCAAGGCCGCCGCCGTGCAAATGGGGATTCTTAATTTATTATTTTCTTGTTTCGTTGCCTCTGCGCCGCCATATACACAACCTCCGGGGGCTCGAGGAACGAACAACAGCCGGCACCACACCACCTGCCCGGCCCGCTCCCCAGCTCTCTTGGCGCCGAGCCCTATCCTATAAGAGCCAAAGTTGAGCACGCCGAGCCGCAGCCTCCCCCCCCCCCTCACCAAAGCCTCAACAAGGCGCAACGCTAAAGTTTCTCGGCGTGTGCTGCCGGCGCCGGGCTAGAGCTGTGCCGCCGGACCGTGCCGGACGGGCCGAGAGGAGGTGCCAAGGGCCGAGGCATAAAACCGCGGCTCCTTGAGGGGCGAGCAGGCAGAGCGGGGTGAGGCGGGACGGGACGGCCGACAAGCCATGCCTCCGTCTGCAACTTGATGCGAAAATCAGAGCTCCGGCCGGCGGCGCGGCGGCTGGGCAGCAAGATCGCACACAGAGAGATCGCGTGCACCGATCGGCACAAATCATTCATCCGACGTTTAATTTCCAACAGCTTTCGCGCGCGGCGCGCCTGCCCGGGCACCGCCGGCCACGCAACGGAAGTCAGCCTCGTGTTCTTGGCGCTCAGCCTGACAGGGCGGCGCGGGGCCGACACCCGAACAAAGAGGCGGGCGAGACGGGGCGGCAGCCTGCCCGGTAGGCACGCCCGCCGCGCACGCCTGTGTGACGGGTCTGCCCACCCCCGCCCTACTCGTGCCTCGCAGCCTGCCCGGTAGGCACGCCCGCCGTGCACGCCTGTGTGACGGGCCTGCCCACCCCGCCCTACTCGTGCCTC